TTCGATAAAATGAAAGTAAATGTATTCGGTGCTTTAGTTTTCAATCATAGATTATTCAGGAGAAATTCCCTCGATCCTGATATAATCCTTTTGATTTATGATATTAATAGTAATCACAACCGCTGTTCTAAAATTATATTTTGATATAAAGCTCGCATAGTTCATAAATTCATTCATATTAAAGATTTTCTTTAATAATGTATGGACTCAAAATGAATCATGAATATGGTATTTCGAATCAAATATCTTGATATTACTTTATTACATAATTTTAAGCAATTGAATTTTAAGAATTATTTTTTTTCATTGATCTCTTCTCTGTTTCAGTGTTTTAGCGTTTTCTATTTCTTTGCAATTTCACCTAGGCTCTCTGCATAATGATTTATAAAGTAATACCATTTATTTTTAAAATAAGTTGTTCTAAAAGATAATCTAAGGTAAAGTATAAGCATTATATAATTACCAGTATTACAGAAATTTAAAGGAAGTCAATGGTTTAAACCTAATGTTGAAAAAATAAAGCAACACTATTTCAGCATAAAATTCGCCAAAAGACACATAATGCTAATTGTTAAGTTATAAGTTCATATCTTCCACAGACATTATGTGAAGGCAATATATAGAAAATAGCTTAATGTAAAACTATTTCATTAAATATGACTAAATATTATCAAGTGTCTAGTTAATATAGTATTAAACCTCTGAGAATTTCATAAACACGTACATAAGACATAGTTAGAATTATGATCACGTTTTAGATCGAATATTATCATTCCATTAAAGGCAGTTGAACTGTTGTACAACGCTTTAAGGTAATTTCTGGCCGCGATATTTAATTTAGAGCCTTATTACAAAATATAATTCACTGCTTATATTTAACACATTATTTTATATGTATCAGATCGCGATATTAAGAGAAATGAAAAAAAAAATACAAAATATCGTACCTAAAATTATTTTAATAGTAACTATTGCGAAAAGAAAAAAAATCTGGGTACTTTTCAGTAAATATTATGAATTCTACCACTAAAAACTTTCTTCCCACTTAAATTATGACCAATGTTTGTATCCACAACAAAATAAATTATAAGATTATCTTAAACACATAAATGTGTTACATGCTTCTGTTATAACAAAAATTTTGTGAAAAACCATTTCCTAACGATTTTTCGGTACTCGAGTTAGGCTATAACCGGATTTTATGAATGCGAATCATGTCCCTTGAATTATTATTATCCATTCCATTCAAAAATATCGAGCTCGGAGCAACTGGCATAAAACGGACATCAAAAGATCAACCTGGACTCACGAGTTACTCATATTCAAATTCTCTATTCAAAATACCGTTTACATCACGAAATGTAAGACACTTTTAATGACATTTTAATAACTGGACCATTTGAATTAAATCTATTGTAGTCTTAAATTTGAGGCTTGTGAGCTTCTATCTATTTATATTCACAAATAATAAATATTCACATCGAACATATGCAGAAAATGTAAAGAAAAAAACTTTAATGAACGTATAATCTACGAAGAACTTAAGAATACTAAAAATAATTTACATCTGCGTTTCGATAAAATCGGTCAAGTATTTTCCTTCTAAATATAAAATAATCATAATGAGGCTCTTAACACAGCAAAAGTAACTTTGCGTTCAACTTATACGACTCTTACGAAAGTTATAACATCACGTAAAATACGCATCCACTTGAAATGTTTTACTAAAGTATTGACAATCAGCAGTTGACATTTGAACGTATAATTACCAAAGTATGTACTCTCAAGAGCTACTACTATTTTATGTCTTGAGTATGCGTCTTCAGAGAGCATTTATCGTTCGCTTTGGCTGTGAACGATGGCACTTCTGTTGGTTTATTTCACCTGCAATTTGCCAAGAAGTAATGTGTCCCGATAGAATTTTCTTTACAAACAATGTCTTTCAACATAAATATATACAACTTTATGAACAATTCATTGATTATAAAAGTGTCAGTCATTACAACTAACGAGTAATAAATTCGGCAATAATTATGTTATTATTATCATTTTTTATGTATTTAATTTATAATATAAATTAATTTTGTTCATTGAGAGACTAAAATTTCTGTTTTAATTAAGATAAGTAGTAAATCATTAAAAAAGAAGATCGTTTGATTAAGTTTCGTCGATTCATATATGAGAAATAATTTAAACCTTGGTATAAATTTTTTCGTCGAAACGTAACGTATTGTAATCATCCATTCATTCCATTTCATTGAATTTTTTAAAAATAACGTTGCACCTTACTTTAATAAGTTTTATCTGGGTCATAAAACCATACACTCAATTTAAACAAATATTTATAAATAAAATACTTAATCATGGTAGTGGTTTACATGTTTTTTTTTTGTATTCAAAAACTGACTTTTCTAATAAAAATATTTTCCTATAAAACAATATTGAAAAACAAACTAAACGACACATGTTTCATGGTTGGTTCGATCGGGAAAACATATAGAATCTCATACAAAAACCACTCACATCTATACCCAATTTTCGGTTCCCTGAGCGCCTTATACTTTTTTCCGGAAAACATTTTTCAGTGAAAGAACATTTAAATATAGCTCACCTTTTCAGCCAATTCAGCATTTCCATTTATACTTTCTATCGTATTTTACGCTATTAGTTGTTCCTTTTTTATTCTGATGAAAGTAACTAGGAAGGAATATTGAAAATTTGTGTCACTTTAATTCTCACAGCGTTGGATTTACAGAAGAGTAGTGATAAAATAAACTTTTAATGATATAAAAATTCACAGGACAAATATTATTTTGTCATTCTTAATATAGAGAAACATTTTGGGTAGAGGTTATGAGTGTTTTTCAACAACAAGACCATTGAAAAAGTTTTTTTGAATAAACAATCAAGTAACCTTATAACTATTTACTCACACTGTAACCAGAAAACTATTTCGGGAAACCATTATTTTCTTTAAAAAACCGTCGCAAATAAAAATATAACACTTTTCGCATTGAAACAGGTAGCTTAGCTCCAGGCGTTAGCAAAACATCATTCTGTAATAGATTCTTAGAGCGCCTGAAGCTATTTAAATTTAAAGAATGTACGTCCTCGCGAAGTTTGCCTCATACAAATACTTTGACGGCTTTGTAAACAAAGCTCACATTATAATATCGTGTACGTTGAACCTCAAGTTGATTTCAACCCAGAATCTATCTGTAAAGATTCTTTTATTAGTTAAAAGTATTTTTAAGTCCTGTTAGAAAACAATACAATTTTAGTAATGTAAACCTGTTCTTTGTTTTATGAAACGTTTTTCTTCTTAACTCTATCTATAAAGAAAGATTTATTTTAAAAGTTAGATGACGTGATGTTTTCTTAGCGATCCCGACACCATGACTCTTACATCATAAGTTTACTTTTCTTAAACTTAATAACGTTTTATAATAATATTAATTTCGCTTCTTTTCAGAATATTACGATATATTGATTTAAATAAAACACATTTTGATAAGTACTTTATATAACTATATTCATAAACTTACAGATTTTATTCCTGACTATAATAATTAAATTAAAGATCTAAATGTACAAAAATGTTTATATACAAGAATTTTCATGCATATACGATAAAAATTGGTATAATGTTTGTATAATGATTATTAGTAAACATCGATGTCAGCAAAAAACTTTAAAGACGACACGAAAACGATGAAAAAACACAGACTTCTTAAAATTAATACATACAATCGTTCGTGTTAAATATCTATTTACAACAAATTGACAAACATTAATAAAACTCTTAACATGTAATAGTATATTATCAACTAAACTATGTATATATGATGTGAGTATTACAGAAATTCTTTTGAAATTATCATATGTTTTTAAAATTGTTTAATAACTGAATCATGCACGAGTATTTGCATGCAGTTGAGCGAAGACTACACATTACTCACAAATATTTATTATGTAAATTGTGTGCAGAATACTTTTACATATAAATTAAAGTTTTAATTAAATATGACTAAAAAATTTTCAATTGCCCAGACAATGGGTAGACGCCGTTATGTAGAGTTTTTATTTTGTTTAAAGCTTGTATTTAAAAATTTGATAAATATAAGAGTATAACTATTCTATTACTGTCCAGGTGGCTCGATATTGGCAGTACGCCACCCTTGAGAAAGTAACTGTATGAAGAAATTTTATCAAATTCTGATATTAGAGGTCTAGTAATTCAATCTATATTAAGTTTATTATATGTATTATGAGAGTCGTTATCATATTTTTAATATTTTTTGTAATTTTTCAAAACACATTCTCTTCTACTTTCCTCACTTATTAAATTATTTTGTCACTAATTAAATTATTTTGTCACTCATCCCAAAAAAGGGTTATAGTTTTTCTCTATATTTACAAATTGGCACACTAAGGTGATTCACGCTCACACTGCCGACATATCTACGGGTTCTGAGCAAATATAGGTATGCATTGATATCTACAGACTCACCTAACATTCTTCAATAAAGGTGAGCATCTAAACTAACTATTTACATCTCACAATCAGTCAATGTTACTATTTTGGCAAATATTCTTAAGTCTTTTACAAACTAATGTATAGATTTTTTTCTATCTATATTTTATTGTTGCTTCTTGAAATGTTACTTCTATGATAGGCCATTTAATAAATGAGACAAAAACCGTTATTTAAGCTATTAACAATTATTATTTGGCACCATATGAACTGTATAATTGAACGGCCTAAAAGCACCTAATTTTTACTATATTTTTAATATTTCGTTAATATTTGAAATTTGATTGGTTCATAAAGCATACCTATTTCACAACCTGCTGCTGATGGTTTTGAATACTATTTATAGCCAATTCTAGTTAAGGCCCAGACTAATAATGTGTACGACTAAGTGTGAATCTGTTCCTTATTCTAAAATCAGGTTTATAGATATTGTCAAGAAGTCAGTGAAAGTTTTATTGGGAAAGTTCTAGAAGTTGCTATCGTAGTCAGAACGTCGCCGAGAATAGTGGGAGCGTGGAAATTCCCCAGTGTAGCCATACACTTGCGAACCAGCACCAACACCAGATTGTCCATACAACTGTGATCCGCCGCCTCCATATCTGTTTATAAAATTTTAAAGAAATATATTTCAAAAATGTATTTTATATCTACTACTTAAAGAAGGTAAAAAATGCGTAAAATTAAAATATTTTGAAAACGATAATATTCAGAAGTATTCAAATCCGTTTTAATAACCTCATTTTAGAAATGTAAGTCGTTTGTAATTTTAAAATCCATACCCATTTCCTGTAGTGCCATATATCTGGGAGCCTCGACCCGAGTCAGGAGCGTAATGTTGCATGTATTTCTGTGCTTGAGGTGTCCATTCAGATCTCCAAGAATCACCAGGATTCTGATAAGCCAACTGTTCTATAAAGGCTGAAGACATACGCTGAAAAATATATTAAAGATTTTTAATAAACAATGATTACATTTTTATTCTAAATGCTTATCTCAAAATGTCTTTTTTAAACAAACACATTATGTATTAAAATACCTTGCCAGAGGGTAAATATGGTAAATCACGTTCTTTTAACTGATGCATGTCATCAAAGCCACCCATGTGACTTTTATCGAGCTCTCGCAGCATGTCTTCGCTAAGCGGAATTGGTTGTTTTGTTTTTGTACTCTTCTGGCGATTAACAAGCTAAAACCAAAACATTACCAATAGAGTTTTTCGTCATCAGTTATTTAAAAAAAAACATATATTGTACATCAATTTCACTAATCACACTTGCTTACCACAGTAACACCAAATATAACGACGAATAACAAGGACGCTAGAGCAATTACTATGACAGCAATACCCCATTGCGGGAGAAGCGACTCCTCTTCTGTCTCAACTAATACAGGCTCCTCTCGTTTCGGTAACACTAAAAAATATTTAAGTTGTTGAGAAACATAGAAAAAATAAAATATAAAAAAAAACCAATAAGCAAATTGCACGAAGTACAGAATTATATTTATCTTTTACCAATGAATTCCGTGTAAGCCGGATCCATGACGAATTTTCCCATTTCTAATTTGCCCGCAGATTTATCAATTGTCTTAGTCATCTTTTCATCACTTTTTTTCATTCTGTCTTCTTCGGGTTGATCTCCGACCATTGCATCAGGATCAAACGTATTTTCTATTTCCTCTTCCTCAACAACTGAACCAGCTTTAGCTTCATTGAGAGATTTATGGAAAAGTCTTTTAAGTTGGTATGTATCAACTTTTTCTTCGACATTATTCAATTCTATGAAGTAGTCTACAAGTACGGAACCTTGACTAAAACCGTCTATTCGGATACCCTTGTACCATTTACTTAGTAAATCAGATTTAGAGTACACAGAATTAAGCTGAAATTTTATAATCATAAATACAATTTAATATAGTGAAAAATTAAAGAACAATAAAATTGTGTGAAAAACTTACCTCGTGTTTGATTTCCTTTGCCAATTTTTGCCACTCTTTTGTATGTTGATCTAAAAATTCTGGTATCCATTTGACACCTACAAGTGTAGTTATTAAAATGAGATTAGGTATTTTTGATAGAGAAAATAAATGCTTTACAAAATAAAAGAAAAACGGATATATTACCTGAAACTATTTTTATTGTTCCTGCAATGTCACATTCATGTCTACATATTCCAGGTGTAGTTGGTTGTGGAGGGACTGTTGTTGTAGTGGTTGTGGAAATGATTCGACGAGTCGTAGTTTCAGTACTTACTTCAAGAAGCGGAGTAGTAGAAGTCGCATTTCGTTGTAATTCGAGAAGTTTTTCAATTGAAAATGGAGTCGTGGAAGGTGAAGGCCATCCCGTAAATTCAGTAGAGGCTCTGTTTAAAAAATAATAATAAAATATAAACAAATAATTGAATAATGATAAAAATAAATATTTTTGAGTGATATAAATATACTATAAATACCTAGTCGGCCATCCTTTCCTTATCTTTGGTGTAACGGGAGGAGGACCCATAATAACTTTTTGTGTTATGTTTTTTCTTGCTGTTTTCCCACTTGGTCTAGATGGGAATACCAATTTAAATTTCCCAGGGGAAACAGTTGTACTTGTCGTCTCGTTTTCTTCTAAGTTATTGGGTTTAAAATCAGGCGGCAAAAAGTTTTTGACATCTAGTATTTTAACCTTAGTCAAGGGACTCTCATCATTATCTGTTTCAGTACTATTAATGTTATAGCCTGGTGGAAGAAAAGCATTTATATCTGCAGTATGTACTTGTATATTTGATAACGGTTTAGGTTTTTCGGTTGTGGTAGTACTTGTAGTACTATTCAACTTATATCCTTTTGGTAAAAATGATGAAATGTCAACTTCATGAACATTTTTAAAGGTGTCTAATTTAGATGTGTTCATAGTGTCTTCATTATTATCTAAATCTGATTCCAGTTTATACCCTGGCGGTAAAAATTTACTTATATCATCTTGATTTTTGTTAAACGAAATCTCTGGAACTCGTGGCTTAGGTTTGTATTCCTTGGGAAGTAAAGACTTATCATCTAATATTATGACTTTGTTTTTGGAACTGATGCCAGATGAACGTCCTTGAGTGCCATTTATAATTAAATTTTCGGTAGAAGCTGTTGAAGGCGACGACGTTGTGGTTGTTGTAGTAGACGTCGTCGTCGTCGTTGTTGAAGTTGTACTAGTACGTTTATCTTTATACGATTGCCTTGATTTATACCCTGATGGAAGTAAACCAGATAAATCATCCATGATGGTTACTAACTTTTTCTTTGGTTTAGGTGTAGTGGTGGTAGTTACACGAGGCACAAATTTTTTAATCTGGACAGGTAAAGGCTCTGGAAAAGATCTCTCTGTTATAGCATAAGGTTGAGTACTTTTTAAAGTAAAAACATTTATTTTTTGGGCTACCGTTGTACTTTTGATAGGTTCTGGGGTAGTTTCAGTAATTAATTCTATATTTTTGTTGTCATTTTTAAGATTTCCTGATAAAACAGCACTCGACAATTCTGATTGTATACTATCTAATTTATCATTTATATTTTCTGTCGAAGAAGGACTATTAACAACGCTACTTAAATCTTTCTTTGGATTTTCGGTGACAGACTCCTCGTCCTCGGCTAACACCTGTTTCTTTTCTTCTTGTTCTACAGCCGGGAAAGGTAAAAATCGTGCTCCTGACACACTTCTGCTAGTTTGTACTGACGCTACAACAATCCAACTCTCTGTGGTCACTGAAGAAGTGTCATTGTTTTCAATATTAAGTGCTGGAGTAACAGTTTTACTTTTGGGCGTAGGTGGATATGTCACATCGGGAATTGAAATAGTACCATTCACAACGCTTTTAGTAGTCACAACTGAAACTACTTCTTGGCCTAAAATTGATGGCGTTTCAATTGATGAAACATCTTCCTTAGAAAATGTAAACTTTAAACTGGGCGCAGTTGTGTCATTGTCGGAAGCTGAATTTGTCTGGTCAATTACAGTAGTGTCTACGAATTGTTTAAAGTTGTCATCTTTAACCAAAGTCTTATTAGGTTTCATTACAAGAACTTCAAAAGTATTTGTATTATTTACTTTAACTTCTTCCTTTGGTATTTCTGATTCTTCAGATGAATCGTACTCATCATATATATCAGTAATAGGCTCGGATTTTGTACTAGTAACAGGTTTAGATGTGGTATGTTTAACATCACTTTCTTCATCATCATAATATTCAACATACTCTTCCCCTACTTCTTCTTCCTCTTCATTCATATCTTCATCGTTAGTATCATGATCATGTACTTTGGTAACGTTTAAATTAGTAGCTGCTTGTGTTTTAGATGAAATAGTACTAGATTCAATAGGTACTGCCTTAACCGCAGAATTGTCAGCTAAATTTTGAGCATTCATTGAACTGGCATCAGGTTTGCTGTCGTAAGAATCTTTGCTTTTATTTGATTTTATAACTTGAACATCAAAGGAACCTTCATTGTTCTTCATTAATTGCCTAAATGAACTAATATCACTTATGTCATCTTCGAGAAGTGGTTCAATGTCCAAAAGAGATTTATATTCTGTAGAAGTTCCTTGATACAAATTTGGAATATTTTTAAGTGGCTTAAAATTATTGTTTTGTCCATTTTCATTTAATGGTATATTTTGAACAGTTTTCTTTACTTCTAGTCCAGGTAAATTATCAAAATGTGAAAACCTCAGAGTATTTGGTTTAACATTTATTTTCTGTCGACTTTCGATCTTAGTTGGGTTATAAGTAGTGACTTTATGATTGTCGAAAATGTCATGATCGTCGTTATCCATCTCGTCATCATGTGGAATATGGCCACTTTGGCCGTTACTTTTGAGACTATTACCATCAAATGGTATATTTTTGAATCTGTTATTTTGTAGATAATCTATATCAGGATTATTTATTGTAATTTGACCTAAAAACGTTTCAGGCTTTGAAGGGTCATTCTGATATGCAACTGAATGAATTTGTGACAAGTCTGGCCTTTTAGTTGAAGCAGGATGTTGATGAACTAATTGAAAGTTGTATGGTAATGCTGGTCTAAACCTCTGACGCTGTGAAGTAGACACGTCGGCTTGATTGATGTAATATTGCGAACCAGATTGGCTTCGGCCGGTTGGTAGTTGAAATGGAGAAGGATTTTGATTATAGTTAGGACTTGGAAATCTTACGCGTCCATCATTGTAAGGTGTCGGTTGTACCGTTTGTCCAACTCTAAAACTGTCTCTATTATCATAATAGGTCGTGGGTCGACTATTTGAAAATATAGGTGGTTGCACTTGAGCAAAACTTCTATCTGGAGTGTAGTAGAAGTCATTTTCATCTGAAATTAAGAAGTACTTTTAGAACAATTTATTTTGTTTTCCATGCACTTTATACTATGTTTAAATCAATAACAATTCTTACAAAAGGGAACCCAAACAATACTCATTGACTTTATACTATAAAGACTAAATACGTAAAGCTCTTGTTTTACATTATAAAAAGTAAGTATAACGGAATTATGGCAAAACAATTTTACAATTATTTATTTATAAAAATATATATTAGTATAAAAAACATAATTATAAATGTTTTTAATTTATTATTGTTAGATAACATGACATTTAGAAGAAAATAAACGTGTAATTGACATTTTAAAATAATGCAAATTACTGTATTTTGAGGATAAACCCAATTATCACTACAAAGCGCTCCAAATTGCGGAGCTAACAAAACAATAAAATAATGGATTTCACGATATAATGCCATACAAATCCTCTTTGACGATACTAATTTATTTAATAAAATAAAGTATTCTACTGACTTGGAAAAGTATTTTAAGAAAACTAAATGTTCGTATTCAGCTTTTTTAGTAAAAAAAATCAACTACATTTGTTAACATCGAAACATTATTAAAAATAGATACTATTGATTTATTTGTTACCGATGAGTGTAAAGTAATTAATATTTTAAATATCTCCTATTGCTACTTTTTGTATTTACTGATCTGGAATTCTAGAAATAAAAGAATCTATACTCTTGAATTACTTATTTTATTTATAAACAATATGTTTATAGACGTGAATATACATACATATTTACAAATCACATTCAATTTGATGTTTATATATGTTTTCGAATCTCCCACAGCTTCGTATAATAGTCCACATGTATATCCATTATACATAAAGGTAACTGTTTTATTAAAATTCCTTTTCTTTTTATCATTATTTTTATATGAAAATGTTAATATTATAAATATGAATGCAATATTATAACCCCAAGCAATAGAAATAAATCTCTTTCCATGATTTAAGATACATATTTGTTCCCCAGTGTTTATTGGTATTGACATTTTACCAAGACACAACCCATTTAAACAAGATATTTGTCTGTATCTTTAGAGCTATTACAATATTTGAAAAAGTTGTCTCTTAATAATATATATTTATTGCAAATGATTCACACCTAATACATTTTCCATCAATTCAACGATCCAAAATATTAGTTAAGTTCCAATTTTCTCACAATAAAATACATTAAAACGCAAAGCTGTGGACCACGCTTATTCCTTGATATTAGTACTTAAAATTATCTTTTTGATTTGCGTTAAATGTTATAAAGAGGTGTTATTTCTATGGTAGCGAAAGTAGCAAGAATTTTATATCAATAAACTAGTGTAAAGTAATAGTAAGCAGTAGTAGCTTTTAACAGAAAATTTGTTCCCAGCAAACCTAACGTACTATCTAAAATCTAGGACAATTGTTGGTCCAATTTGAGTAACCCGCTATTATTTCAAAAAATGTCATGAAAGAGAATATAAATAACGGAAAAAGCTGTAAGGATTATTCCTTTTTAAAAAATATTTTTTTGGATCGATATTAGGCGTCGCAAAACCTTAATATTCTTATAGCCCCAGCGTTATTAACGCTATACCCGGTAACATCGATACACAAATATACGGAACGATAAAATTTAAAAGCTTTTACCCTGACAGATTGTTTTATATACGATTTACAATATTTTGTTGCATTCTAACCTTAAAATCTGAGTAATAAGAATCAAATGCTCATTCCACTCAACCTTTTCCACCCCACTGCTTATTGCGTGAGTGTCGAAATAATAAAGCAATTTACATGTAATGAATATTAACATCGCTGTCTCGAAAACATAAACGTATTTCGGCGCTCTTGTTGTGTTATATAATGCGCTTGTGTGTGTCTTTAAAGTATAGACACAAAATGTGCATGTATGTAAGTGTGTTTCAAATTCAGTATAAATACACTCATATAGATATATTAGTCTGTTGGTTGTTTATTAAAAATCTATTTGATAATTGATATGAATCCTTTTTACCATAACATTTTTGTAAGTTGTAATAAAATAACTACAATATGACCCTGCATTATACAAAAAATATCACTTATACTTAATAATTATATCTTGGTAAATAAATTAATTGTTAGATATTATTTTATCTATATCTTATTCTTTAATATTTTCTCCAATAAGGTAAAAATAATTGGATAACTTATCACGATCAAAGCTGACAATTTTGTTCTGTTTTTGCCATTTTTCAACATACTAACGCCTAGGAGGGTGTTTTGAAACAGAGGCAAATTTTTCCCTATTTTTGTGTATCCCTGTATTTCATTATTCACGTCCTTGTCAGAGGGAACAAACATGTTTACGTTGAACTTGGGTAACCTTTCAAGCTTTATCTTATTATTCATTAGGTTCAAGACAGTTGAAGCGTAAATAACACCATCAAGATATTTTAAAAATAGTGAACAAATAAAGCCATAATAGTCTTAAAAGTCAAGTAAAATAATTTGTCACAAGATATTTTCAATGTTTGTAAAATATTTTTTTTATAAAACATTCAGTTCTTGGAATTAGGTTGCCTCTTATTTGTAGCGAGTAATACGTTACATACTTCGAAGTCAGACACCTAAGATTTCCCTTGGGGTAGGTAAGCCGCCTCGTTTGTCTTTGCAATACTAATAATGGGAATTAACGTAGCAGTTGTGCAAGAAATGTCTTGTTACAGAAGTCACTACATCTGTTGTTACTTTTACTCATTTTCTTATATTAAACACTGTTAATTTTTGCAATTTCGTTTTTTAACTCATAGTTGAATAAAAATAGAAATAATAATAAATATGAATTTAATTAAACATGATTATATCAAAATAATATTAAAATATTGTTTGGTAATATACATTTGTATATTTCTAAACATAGCTCTTTTTAATATAAAGAAATGAGATATACATTCAGAAATATTTTCATTTTATCATCAAATTTCTTTTTAACTAACGTTCGTTACAAATGGCCGTTTAAAAAAATGTGTTTATGTGGTGTCGTAAATCCAAGGTAATTAGGAACATGTGTGAGGGAAGCCTGAGCGTGACGTGCAGAAAGGGTTTAAAAGCTCTTTATAACGGAAAAACAGAGGTTTTGAAAACCATTTAAGGGGAAAACGGGTATTTTGGAACTGTAAAAAGCTTTTTGTGGCTAGCCCGTTTGAGTTAGATACTAATTGTCTGGTTTACAAAATTAAATCATGTAATAATTGTATGCTTACAGTGAAATCTATTATGTATCCTTATTAATAAATTAAAAATAATTTTAAAAAAGGTATTTCCTTATATTTATTAATTTAACACATATTTGAGAAACTTAATTCGTGACCTTATCATGTCACATACAAAAACAATAAGAGAAAAAACAATTTTAACATTTTGAGAAGTTTCTTAAAGATATTATCTCTCTCGAAATTCTAAACTGGTATTCTCAACGAACACGTAAGATGTGACAAACATTTGTAAACTTGTACCGTTGGAACTAAAAGTTCGTTTCCTCTGGGATAAGAATTCCAACACGATGCCGTCTATAATGGCCGGCACACGGAACAATAGCGGTTAGAAGGGAATTCACCGAGTTGATTAGTTTGTTTAAACGGTGTACGAGTAGAAATGTAATGTAATTTTCTCCTCTTTTTTTGTATATGAAGCTGTTTTTTAGAGTTTATATCACAAAATGTTACTGCAACCTTTTGAAAGAGGAGGCACATGTGTAGAATATTACCTGGGTCACGAAAATTTACGATAAGAACGAGGAAAATGGGTTAGATTAGGCCAAAAAATTCTGCGTTCACGATATAAAATACACTCTTCATTTCCGTCAAAGAGCAGAATCAGGACTATGAAATAAATTATTATAATCATCTGAATTATTCATTTCAATTGACATTTATCTTTTTAGTTATCTCTTCTTACTTTTTCTAGAAACTATTCGAAATGCTTTACGGCGAACAATAATGTTTTTTCATTTCAAATTAAACAAATATATAAGTCACTATGCTGTTTCCCTGAGTTAAAATAAAAATATTATATAAAAAGAGGTCTTAAAGTAAATGATTATCTACCTACGAATGAAATATGTGGGTCGATCATTAAACATTGGCATTGCGTACGTGATTTGATTCTCTAACTGAGGATCACAAGCCGCGTGGTATTAGATATTGATTAAAGATGAATCTGTGCCACGTTTTAGTTATTAAATAACTTACATCATATATATTTTTTTTTTCGAATGTCATTTTGAAATATAATTTTACTGATATAAAAACCATGAGACAATTACAAATATTTAGAACTATAAAAAGTTTCCCAAAAATGGGAAAGTTTATTTAAATTAAAATAGCCTCAAATTATTATATTTACAACAGCTAGTTCTAGTCTGATGTAAATTAAAACTTGAATAAAAGTAGCCACGTTCAAATTCATCCTGTATAATGGTCTCTGTCACGCTTAAAATGGGAGCATACGCACGAACCTTGCCAAATGTTTGAACATTACACACATAGCCACGTACCCACATAGTTTAACCAACCCATAATGTCACCTTATTCATTTTATTGAATGGTATATTGAGTAATACATTTATTATGCTTAACACAGTGTTGTTAACCATGGTTTTCATTTCTAAATGTTATTATTTCTAATTCATTCAAATTCATTAATGATTCATATTAATTTATAGGATTAAAAAATATTTTTATTCAAAATACACCAAAGTTCATCCAAACTGTATTTTTGCGTTGATTGAATAAGAAATATGTACGTGCTGATTAATGGATTTATCCTATCAATATACTTTTCGAGTAAAAACTTCGAAATCGGCAATCTCCAGGTCGACGAACAAACTCGGAATAAGCCATAAAATTTTATTTAATGTTTTATTATAAGATTACAAAATATTTTCTATAAATCTTATTACACTTTGTAGGGTTGCAGGTGATATTAATTTTAATGATTGGGTTATATGTTGCTGCTG